GGGGCCGGGGCCGGGGGTGGGCACGCGCCACGGCAGCAGTCGGGCGTCTGTGCAGAGAGGGGGCTCTACCCAGGTGTGCCCACCTGCTGTCTGCTGCCACCTTCGCTTAGCAAGACTGCCGCTGGAGACGCTCCATCTCGGGGGGGCCAACTATTTCTCAAAAAAAGCGCCCTTTCTCACTTTCCGGACCCTCCCCTCTCCTCACCTCCATACACCAAGGAACAACAGCCCCCACCACAAATGAAATCTTATAATAGAAACTGAACAAACCAGCACAAGGGCACTTGCATTTCTAGTATTTGTTTTTCTCTTAGAATTTGCACATCTGTGATTTCATATTCCCCTCCTAAGTATCTTCAAGGGTAAGATTCAGTGGTTATTATTAACCTCGAGATTCTGCAAAGATGGGTCTCAGACAGGTAAGTGAAATGACTTTGCTGAGAGCAGACCTGAAGCCAGATCCCAGCAGCTTTACCAAACTAGACTCCAAAAATTCAGCTTCTTTGGAATCATGAGGGAGGATGGAAATATTAAAACGCCTTCAGACTAAATAGCAGAGATTTCCCTGGACAAAGACAAGATCACTGAGGAAGGTAACTAGAGAGACACTATTTAGGAGCCTCATCATTTTCAGATGATAAAAGAGTCTCAGAGAGCAAGCTGCTCTGCCAGGATAAAACAACTAGGTAGAAACACAGCTGAGCCCAGAACCCAGGATGTCTACATATAAGGATAAAGGTACTTATCCAGCCTAGTCCCCACCAGCTCCCAGGTTAAAGAGAGAGGGAAAACGACTTGTAAGAATGAGAACTAACAAGTGCATAGAAAGAGAGAAAGAGAAGAGGGTGATGAAAGAAGTGGAGGGTTTCCTCCCCTAGCCCTCCAACTGGGGCCCCCTCCTTCCTCAGGGCCTGGCAGAGGGCCAGGAGGGAGGGTACTGAGAATCTGAGAATCGCAATATAAACCTCTGAGATTTATTGGCTGTGCTTCTGAATATGGCCATCCTGCTGTGGCCTCTGGGGGGCATTTGCCGATGTAATCAGCCCAGAAAGAGAGTCATTCCAGCCGGGGTGTAAATCACCCTTCACAAAGCTAGGAGAGAGACATGTGGCCCTAGATAAGGAAGGAGACTGATGTGGCCTCTGTGCCCTTCCCTCCCTTCTTCTGCCCAGGGGGAGCTGGTTCCTGAGCTGTAATGCACTTTAAGTGGAGTTTGTGCTTTATTTTAATCTATATCTGCCCTGCCAGTTTTATAGAACTATGCAAGTGAACATCTGGCTATCCAGCTTTTGTAAGGGGCCTGCTTTCCCCCAGCTCTACTCTACCCGTATGTACTTTTCCCAAGTCATCCCTTCCAGTAAGATTAGGACACCTATCACTGGGGAGCTGACAGTCCTACTCTGCCTATATTTTCATAAAGGAATTTACAAAGCAAAATGTAAGTTTCAGGTGGTTGGGATCCTAGAAAAGGGCTGAGACCCATGAACCAACGATGTGGGGTGGTTGAGGGGTGTCACCTCTGCACTCCCCCTCTTCTGGCAACAAAGCCAAATCATGATTGGAGCAGGAGGGAGGTTGGGAAAGGGCATTTTGCTCAGGATGACTACTCAAAGTGTCTATTCAATGGTATCCCCATGGAGTGGACCAGGAATGCAGGAACAATGCCCAGTTCTACCTGTAAAAGGCCAGCCTTTTTGTGCAAATAAACAAGGTGCCTGGAGCATATTTCTGTGTGGGCATTGGGGTGGAGAGCCTCACATCACTGCACTTTTAATGAGGATCGGTAACCAAGGCTATGGGAGGGTTGAGAAAGCCTCTGCAAATAAGTATGACCCCAAGACTAATATTGACAGCCCTCCAGCACACCCTCTCCCCACCAACTATGTCTTCTGTGACTGCCAACACCTGCTAGATAAGCATTGCCATTGAGAACCTTGTGGTTCAATTCACTATGTCTTTTGAGACTGATTATGAGTCCAGCTTTGTGCCAGGTGCAAAAATAATTAAGACACAAACCCTGCCCTGGGAGGGACTTATAATCCACCGATTGCAGCTCAAAGGTCCTTAGACCCTACATCTTACACCACTTTCGTTTGTAATCCTGATTTTCTCCTCTTATGGTCAGACTAGATGGATTCTGCCTTCTCTCAAGTCCTCTCTCCCCGTTGAGCTTTAATCTTGCTGTTATCCTAAACCAGGATATTAACAGAATAGTGAATACATGGTTAAGACCACAAGCTTTACAAACTGCCTGGGTTCAAATGCCATTTCCAACACTTGCTGGTGACTTTGGGCATTTCACTCAATTTTTCCATGCTTCCACTTCTTCATCTGTAAAATTAAGATAATAGTATCTACTTCATATAACAGTTGAGAGGATTAAACAAGTATATATTGGGTAAAGGGCTCAGCACAGTGCCTGGCACATAGCAAGCACTGAATAAATGGCAACATCCCAGGTGGCTTGCAGGAGTTAATTATTCTGTGTATTTGGCCAGCTCCCACCACCCAACTTGCTGCTTTTTTTTTTTTTTTTTTTTTTTTTGTCTTTTTCCGTGTCCGGCAACGGATCGCAACCCTCAGTGTTGCCCCCGTACCGGACCGGGACTGGCAACGGGATCGCAACCCTCGGTGTTGCCTCCGCGCCTCGCTCAGCCAGTGAGCGGGAACCGGTCTGTATGTGGGATCCGAACCCTCGGCGGGAGCGCCTCCACGCTTCCCAAGCGGCGCACTAGCACAGTGCGCCACCGGGCCGGCCCCCAACTTGCTGCTTTGAAGCAAGACTGCAGTATTTCTTCCTTTTGCTGAATGTTTGTATACTAGTGGGCCAGAGTGCTTGTAGGGATGGGAACAAAGAGAACCATTTTCTACTTAGACTTGACAACTCCAGATATATATGTTTAAACCTCCCACTTTATACTCCTGATAAGGAAAGGGAAATGCTCCTCCCTTCTCTATTGCAGAGGTCAGCCAGGTCCTGAGGTTAAATTGACAACCAGAAGCAGTTTTTGTTTTTTTTTTTTTGTCTTTTTTTATCTTTTTCCGTGTCCGGCAACGGATCGCAACCCTCAGTGTTGCCCCCGTACCGGACCGGGGACCGGCAACGGGATTGCAACCTTCGGTGCTGCTCCCGTGCCTCGCTCAGCCAGTGAGCGGGAACCGGTCCGTATGTGGGATCCGAACCCTCGGGCGGGAGCGCCACCGCACTTCCCAAGCGGCGCACTTATCCAGTGCGCCACCGGGCTGGCCCCCAGAAGCAGTTTTTTGACCAAAAGATTTCCATTCTTTATTATTTGACCTCATGATGAATGAACACCAGTCAGTGCAAGGGCACCAGTGCATAGCTAACCCCCTAAACAGCCTTGTTGAGGTTGCTGGGCTGGGGTCTTAGTGTCTGCCCTTATCCTCACTCACCTCCCAAGCCCAAGCCATCTTTATGGCCCCAACCTCTCAAGAACCTACAATTGAAGCTCTTAACAGATTGAACACCCAGTACAGTGTCAACTCTAAAAAGGCACACTGAGGGGCTGGCCCGTGGCTCACTTGGGAGAGTGTGGTGCTGACAACACCAGGTCAAGGGTTAAGATCCCTTTACCAGTTATCTTTAAAAAAAAAAAAAAAAGCACAGTTTTTTGATGAGGAAGATAAAGAAATGCAGATAATAATGAGTATCTGCCTCACAGGATTTTTGTGAAAATTAAATTAGTTTATATATATGAGTTTGGAAAAAGTCTTGTGTGCAGTAAACACTTGAGAAATGTTAGCTACTTAGCTGTTATTCCTGAAAATAACATGAATCAAATCACATGGTCCCTATACAGTGGGAAGATATAAGAAATCATATGGCAAAATACTGCCTTTTAGGCAAACACAATTTTTTTACAAAGTAGATAACTAATTAAGCCCTAGTTTTTTGTTTTGCAACTTAGTTTCCACTTAATAAAGATTACTGAAATGTGAATACATGTACATCTATCTCTTCCCAGGTTGGGCTTAGTTCTACCTCTCTGGAGAGAATTATCAGGAAATGACTCACCAGGGTAGGCAGTGGGTTGGAGATCCCTCCTTACACTTGGAAGAGGAGGTGCTTCAAGCAGTTTCCTCCTCAAGCTACTAGGAATTCCTGCTTGGGGGGTCGGGGGTACATGTGTGGGTGGGAAAGAAGAGCAGCATCTTTCTCTCAGCCATCTCCATTTCATGTAGCAGCAGCTCATCTCTCCTTTCCCCCCAACCCTTCTGAGCTCTGAGCTCACTGGCTTAGGGAGAAGGCCAGGGAGGCAGCTTCCCTCTTGACAGGCAGGCAGCAGCTAGGAGTGGAGGCTACAGGCTCTCGCTGGCTGGCTTGGAGAATACAGCAGTGCCCTCTGCTGTGAGGCATGCACGCGGCACTCCAGGGCAAGAACACGTGCAAAGCTTCCAAAAAAAAAAAATCAGCCCAGCTGCTCAGGCACACGTGTGGGCTGCCCTAGACTACAACCCTCCTTCCCTCCCACTCTCTTAAAAAAAGTCTCTCTTCCAGAACCTGGGAAGATGTTATTTTTGTCTATCTCAGTCTAGGCTTTGGAGGGCTTTGTCCTTTTCTAGTCCTGGGCTCTCAGTACTATAGTTAGTGCCAGACAATGGCAATGTTTAATCAATTCCACTTCCACCCCAGGCCAAGTAGGGCTGTACCTCACTATGCAGATAAAAGCCTTCTCATCTTAAAGAGTTCTAAGAAAGGAAAACTGGAGATATTGCTGAAGAATGTAATTTAAAAGGTCTTCCTTAAGCCTAACTGAACTTGCTTTATACTTTTACTTTCCTTTATTCCTATCTGCATATATCACACATCTCTACTTCCAAATATCCTATATCTTAAATTTATCTTTGTAAGATGTGAAATGGGGTGGAGGAGTTTGGAAAATGGGAAAAGTGAAAACCTCACTGAGGCTGTTGATAACTGAGCCCAACTCAGACCTATCATCTGCCTTAGAGAATGCCAATCACCTTCGTTTTCTGAGCCTAGATACTACATGGTGCTGAGTCTGGGGTACACTTTTAGGTCACTCATACCATGGAATGGTCTAGGAAAGGAAAGTCTGGGACACTGCTGAAAAATACAGTTTAAAAGGTTTTCCTTAATTCCTTAGGAAATGCATCAGAACCACCTGAAAAGGAGATTTTCAAGAGATTTCTGAGCCCTAACCTCAGAGGTTCTGATTCAGTAAGTCTGAGGTGGGGCCTGAAGATATGCATTTCAAACAAGTTTAGATGATGTCGGTCTAGGGTCCAAACTTTTGAGAACCACTGGTTTAGAGAAAAGTACCTTGGCCTCAGCTCTCAATGAAGGTTACATCTTTATACCTGAAGGAGTCTAATTTGGTGATCAAGTCCATAGGTCTTCTAGGCGGAGAGTGGGCTCACAATCACACCCCTCATTCCACAGTGTTTATTTTCCCATTTTAAAAAAAGGAAGAGGGGGGAACAAAGAAGGAAAAGACAGGGAATGAAGGTGGGCAACTCTCTTGTATAGCCAGAAGCCCAGCGAGAGAAAGAGCTGGCTGGCTTGTGAGAAGATATGAGTAGTGGGGAAGAGGAATGCAAGGGCTCCCCAAAGCAACACAAATCCGTAACACAAATCTCTGCAACTCAAGGCTACAGCATTACAGAGCCAGCTCCAGGACTCAGCCACCATCCAGCAGCTTTATTAACCAGTCCCCAGGACTGGGATTTCATTAGTTTGGCAGCCTGGTGGTTTGCATACATATCTCAATGATCTTGGGTTTAGCCATGTAGAGGACAGCCTATTTTTGCTCAAGGTTGTATCTTTTGGTGACTCCTTAGCAGCCAGTGGCCGATCTGTTATCATGGGCTCACGTCCTTCACCAGGAGGGCAATCTGCTCCTGCAGCTGCCGCTCCCCTTCCTGTGCTTTGCTCTGGCTTCGACACTTCAGCAGCTCAGCCTTGTGGTCCTGGTGATGCATAGGGCAGTAGCTCTGTGGTTCACATAGCTCCTGAAAGGCAGGGGACAGAGTAAGGGCTTCTCTAGACTCTAGAAGTCTGCCTACTAAGTATAATAGAGACGCTGCTGCTGGCAGTGGCTTAGAAGGAGCAGCAGTTTCTTCTCAGACGGCTTTGCAGGTTCTGTGAGCTACATGCTAAAGTTGTCTCCCCTCAAGTCTGGGCTCCCCCTATCCACTCCCCCTTTACCGTATATTCTGGAAAGAAGTCTCTGTAGCCCCCTTTGAGGATATATAGCTCTGGGTAGTACAATGCAGGATACTGGTTCAGAGCCCTGTCCTCTTCTCTCAGAGAGCGGCACCTTTAGAGAAAACCCAAAGAGGGATGGAGTGGAAAGAGGCAAGGTTAGGATTCCATGCACCATTCCCTAGCGGGGAAGGGGAGGAGAATACTGCTAATCCCAGAAAGGACCTTCCAATCTCACTGTGTTAGTGAAACACGTCTTCCTCCTTTCCTCCATAGAGGGCTCATTCGCTATCCTTTTTCCTTTACTACTCCAAACTTTTGAACTGTAGAAACACCTTCCATTGACCTCCCTAACATTCTTCACTCTATTAGTAGAGAGCACTCATTCAGTCAGTCTCTGTCTGAACTGGTCTGCAAAGTCCAACTCAAGATCCATTTCCATCACCCACCCTAGCCCATGTAGACACTCACATTCGGGGGCCCCTCTCTGAGGAGAATTCACAGTGGAACACGACGATTATTCTTTTCTGGGCATCCAAGGGGACAATAGGTTTCTTCAGAAAGAAGTTATACAGTTCTTCCTGACTATACAAGTTTAAGGCTCCCTGCAGAAGAAGAATTTTATAAGGCCTTCCTCAAAGGCCTGTGGACCATGCCAATACTTAGAAATGACTGGAATACCATCATGGGATATTTGGGCCAGAAAAGCTAGACTATAAGCACTTTCAGGGCAGGGACCTAAGTATATCTCTGTATATAACTCCAGGGCCTGGCACAGAGCTTGGTATGTAGAAGATGCTCAATAAATGTTCATAGAAGAATTGAACTGCCTAAAGTACAGGAATAATTGCAAGGAATGTCCATGAGCAGTAGGTGTTTGCAAAGTGTTTCTCAGTCCTTAATGTTTTTTTTTTTTCTAGGTAGGAGCCCTTGGCTCCTATAGAAAAGAGGGAGATTGGTCTAGAATGGAAAGAGAAAGTAAGTTGCTCAGGGTATTTAGAATTAAAAGAGGAATGAGGACTTCAGCCTTGATGTGCTCCAAATGTTTAATCTCTGCCCTGGTTCTAGAGTTCACAGGAACTGTTGTCCACAGACTCTTCTTAATAAAGAGGTATCTCCAGCCCCTCCCTTGCTAATGTCTAAATGTAACCTCACCTGGATGTGTCCTCCCTGGTACTCATATGGATAGCGGCAATCGATGATATAAAACTTCTCAATCAGAACCTGAAACTTCCCCATCAGTAAAGCGGCCACCTGCACAGAAACAATAATTGAATACCCTGTTTACTGTCACTCTGAGGAGAGAAGAACCAGTCATACAATTCCTTACATGTACACTCCCATTAGTCACCCAGGATTCCATTGTATGTCTAGCCACTAAAGTAATCTATATTTGAAATGAGGCAATGGTTCAGCCCCACCCCAAATAAGAGGATGAAACAGAAAGTGGCCATTGTAGCAAACCAAAATAGCTGGTATTGCCAGGACACCAAGGAAGACCATATTCAGGCTACCCATCTGGAAGCAGGCATGACTGGAATCATCCTCTCGAGACATCTAAGGACTTCTGCAGAGGCAGAGGTAGCAGCTAGAGATCCCAATTTTACAAGAAGAGATAGGAAATGGCTCCCCATCCACCATTATACAGAAAGAAAGCAAATCTTTCAGAAAAGATATAAAAGGAAAAGGCTGGTAACTAGAAGAGGAAACTTAAGCTACTTGTAGGACTATAAATTGGTTCAGCTTTTCTGGAGAAAACTTTGCAAATGCTGTACATATAGAAATAAACATAAGGGTTCTGATCCCCATACCAGCCAGCCACCAAAAATAAACAAATAATAAACAAATAAATAAAATGTAATTACACTTTGACTTGGCAATTTCTTTTTTCTTTTTTTTTGTTTGTTTTCTTTCTACTCGGCAATTTCTTTTCTAACATCTTAAGTATTCAGAAAAGCACACAAAGATGTAGGCACAATAATATCCATCTCAGCATTGTTTTAGGTTATCAAAATATTAGAAATAACTTAAATATTCAATACCAGAGGTTTGGTGAAATAAATTATACATGTCAGTATAACAGAATATTATATAGCCATTAAAATAATGTAGATATGTTTTTATTACTGTAGAAAGATGTTTACAACATCTAAGTTCACTGCAACATTACATGTTCATCATTATCTCATTTTTATAAAACTCATGCTAGAATAAAATCTGGAAGGCTGTAAGGAAAATATTACTAGTGATTATCTCTGGTGACAAAATTGTGGGTAGGGTGACCAAATAATTATTGTACAAACTGGGTGACTTTTGAGAGTAAAAGAGAACACTATTATAATTACATTAACTAATAGTTGTAAATGGGATTGTAACATGTAAACCAGGATGTATGATCATCCTAATTGAGTGATATTTTTCCTTTTTGTGCTTTTGCATCTTCCTTCCTTCCTTCCCTCTCTTCTTTTTTTAAAACAATAATTATGTATCATTTGTTTAACTAAAAACTAAGAAAAAAAGAATAGTATAAAAGGGAGCCCTTTAACACAGCTTCAGTTGAATAAGGAGCCTATGTAAGTATGAACACAGTGAAAGAAATACAAATGGAAGCGGAGATTTTAGAGACAGAACAGACCAGATGGTAGCTTATGTAACCAGTTACCATCTCCAGAAATCTGCTTACTGTTTCTGGGTTGACGTACTTCAGATCTTGGTGTCTCCCTGACACGGTTGGCAGCACACATACCTAGAAATACCCAAAAAACTGGAATAACAGCAAGTAATCCACATCCAAGAATAAAAGAGCCACATACTGTCCTTCTTTTTTTCCAAATGACTCTTAAAACCCCAGAGGCCTTCAAAAATCAATGGCTCTATAATGTACATATGCAGCAATTCCATTTCTGAGAACTGATTCTAAGGAACTAATCAAAGATGTGTACAAAGTTTTAGATTTTTCTATAAATATGTCCATTTTGGTATCATTCATAAGGAAGCATTATAAAACTAAATATCCCACAAGAAGGGATTTATGAAGAAATTATGAGCAGCCGAAAAATGAATAACATGCAGCTATTAAAAATGATGAAATACTGAAGCAGAACTGTTTAATAACATAAAAAGAAATTCCTGATATAATATTAAATGAGGGGGGAAAAAAAACCCAACAGATCACAAAACAGTATAAACAATTTTTGTGGAAAAACTAAAAAAGAATTTGTATGTGTGGATATGTTTATGAAAATACATAGAAAAAATTCTATAAGAATAGGGCTGGTCAGTTAGCTCAGTTGGTTAGAGTATGGTGCTGATAACACCAAGTTCTAGGCTTTGATCCCTGTACTACAGGCCAGCCCCAACTCTCTCCACCCCCCAAAAATATATACCAAGCAATAATTACTCTGGATGATGAGGTTTGAGATAAATTTCTTCATTTTCTATCTTTTCTGTTATGACCCAGTATTATTAATATAATTTTTAAAGATATTTTTATTTTTATTATTATTTTTTTTTTAATAATTTTATTTATTGAATCAGAATTGATTATACATTTCGGGGCCGGCCCGTGGCTCACTCGGGAGAGTGCGGTGCTGATAACACCAAGGCCGCGGGTTCGGATCCCATATAGGGATGGCCGGTTCGCTCACTGGCTGAGCCTGGTGCTGACAACACCAAGTCAAGGGTTAAGATCCCCTTACCGGTCATCTTTTTTTAAAAAAAAGAATTGATTATACATTTAAAGATATTTTTTAAAAGATAGAAGGTAAAAAGTCCTATACTTTCCCCATTGTTCTGGATTTTCCCAGAATTAATACTTTCTCACTGAAAGCTTTAGGGCCTACATTGACCACTAGATACCTTCTGGTTATCAAAGAGTACTTGGCGAAGATGCACAATTATACGTAGCATCTCCTGCAAACAAAGAAGAAAAGATTCAGACCCAAAATGACTCCCTGAAATAGAGGATGGGTGCAACCAAACTTACCTTGGAGAAATCACCAATCAGATGCTCATGGTTAGAATCTTCCTCCAGCATGTGAGTGATATTAATGTCACAGAGAGAGATTGTCTTCTTTAGACCTAAGCCCTGAAGATGACAAGATTCCCACCCACCCCCAATCCTCATGTTAATGGTTTAAAAACCAGGGGATGGGGCCAGCCCATGGCTCACTTGGAAGAATGTGGTGCTTATCAGGTGATAACACCAAGGCCACAGGTTCAGATCCCTATATAGGGATGGCCAGTTAGCTCACTTGGGAGAGCGTGGTGCTGACAACACCAACTCAATGGTTAAGATCCCCTTACCGGTCATCTTTTTTAAAACAAACAAACAAACAAAAAACCAGGGGATGAGAGGAGTGGAGGCTCATTAACAATATTCATACCCTTTGCTCCAATAATGCCACTTGTTTCCCTAAGGAAATAATGATATGCACAAAGACTTGGCTATAGGGATGGATATCCTAGCATGTTTATAACAGAGTATAATTACTAATAAATTAAATATTCAATAATAGGGTCTTGGTTGAACAAATCATATCCCACACATTACAGATTACTATTATAACATAAAAAGTCTGTTGTAGATTAATTTTTTCTGACATGGAAATAAGTTGGTGATATCATTAAGTAGGTTAGAAAACATACATGTACTTGGTAATATCACTTTAATAAAAGAAAAATATACATGAGGCTACTTCAGAAAGTTCATGGAAAAATTGAATTAAAAGGTAATATGAATCCTTCCATGAACTTTTTGAAGACTCCTCATATATATTTGCATAGGAAAATGTCTGGAAGAACATACATCAGGTGTTAACAGTAATTATCTGTGGCCTGTGGGATGATGCATATTTTACGTTGGCTTCTTTTTGCTTACTTGCATTTTCTATTTTTGTATATCGTATATTGATTTTATAAAATAACCAAAGATATTAAGAATGTTTTAAAAGGAGTAGAGGATGAGAACTAAGTTTTTTAAAAGTCACTTTCCACCAAACCAATCTGCTACATGATACTGTTTGTCAGACTGCATGTAAAACAGCAGTAAGCATCCATACCAATCAGAGTTCCCTTGTATTCTCTCAGATCTTAAAAAAGAGAGTTGGGAAAACAGTATGATGATGTCATTTCTAAAAGTATAATATAACATAAGAATTTCTTGTTAAATATTTTATATATGAATGCAGGTGTTAAAAAGACAAAAAGATGGGCCGGCCCGGTGGTGCACTGGAGAGTGTGCCGCAGTGGCGCTCCGGCGGAGGGTTCGGATCCCATGTGGAGACCGGTTCCCGCTCACTGGCTGAGCACGGTACGGGCGCGACACCGAGGGTTGCGATCCCGTTACCGGCCAGTAAAAAAGACAAAAAGGAATTAAAAAAAAGACAAAAAGATGGAAAGAACAAAGATAAAAGTAACGAGAAGATAAAAAAGGCACACTAAAGGATCCCCATACCAGAAAAGCAGAGAAGACAGTGACATAGAAGATTAACAGATTCTCATCTTAAAGTTCTTACCTTCCTGAGCCTTTTGTGGCCAAAACAATACTTCTTTTTTACTTTATCTGGTAGTGGGTTGTCTTTGAATTTTACCACCTGCTTCAGTCTTGGCCTGTTCAAATTCTCTGGCATCGAGGGGGAGCGATACAGGCTGTTTCTGTTCAGTGATGCCTGTTTGGGAATATCAAACCCCTCAGTTCTTACTCCTCAAAGTGTGTCTGCAGACCAGAAGCATCAACATTTCTGGAAGCTTGTTTGAAATGCAGAATTCTAGATGTTAGGCCACACCCCAGACCTACTGAATTAAAATCTGCATTTTAACAAGATGCCCAGGTGATTTTTAGGAACACTCAAATTTGAGAAGCCCTAAGTGAGCAAGCTGTCTTCTTCTCCCCATTAACATCTTTCTATCAGATTGCAAAATATTCCTTCTCCCCAGATGTTTTAACTAGCCAAACCAAATTCTTCTTCTTTTTTTTTTTTTTGTCCTTTTTTGAGACCGGCCGCACCGCGCTCAGCCAGTGAGTGCTGGGAGTGCACCAGTCATCCCTATACAAGATCCGAACCCGCGGCGGGAGCGCTGCTGTGCTCCAAGTGCCGCACTCTCCCGAGTGCGCCACGGGCTCAGCCCCAGCCAAACCAAATTCTGCAGCTGACTGTCTTAGACTGCACCAATTCTTATAGGAGAAAGCAATCACAAACTCAGTTCCTCCAGTTATGGGATAAAAAACAGTTTCTCTCTGGGATCCTATGACATTGACAATCAGGATTTAAGGACCCCAACAAACCTAAAGATGAAAAGCCAAAAAAGTTAGCTTAAGTGAAAAAATACTAAGCAGCTTATGTATATGTCACTTTTTTGGTTAGCAGTTTCTTGGAGTGAGGGAGAAAAATATCATTCAGCCTTCTTATAAAGGGAATTATTAATGGGGAAGAAAAATAGCAAAATAAGCATCATAAAAGAAAAAAGGAAACACTAGAATCAAATAGCAGGATGACCATTGTAGGACTGATACACTGAGGCCCATCAGGAAAAAAATGGATCAAATACCATGAAGAATTAGCCTTAAGAATTGCTGACACAGTCACTCTTTACAATAGCCAAGAGTTGAAACCAGCCCAAATGTCCATCATCAGATGAGTGGATATGGAAAATGTGGTGTATCTACACAATGGAATACTACTCAGCTATAAAAAAGAACGAAATACTGCCATTTGTAACGACATGGATGGACCTAGAGAGAATTATATTAAGTGAAACAAGTCAGGCACAGAAAGAGAAATATCACAGGTTCTCACTTATTTGTGGGAGCTAAAAATAAATAAATAAATACACACACACATACACACAAAATAACTGGGGGCGGGGGAGAAGAAGACATAACAATTGCAATTCCTTGAAATTGATTAGACAAGCAAACAGAAAGGACATTGTTGGGAGAGAGGGGGGAGAGGGGGGGAAAAAAATGGATCAAATACCATGAAGAATTAGCCTTAAGAATTGCTGACACAGTCACTCTTTACAATAGCCAAGAGTTGAAACCAGCCCAAATGTCCATCATCAGATGAGTGGATATGGAAAATGTGGTGTATCTACACAATGGAATACTACTCAGCTATAAAAAAGAACGAAATACTGCCATTTGTAACGACATGGATGGACCTAGAGAGAATTATATTAAGTGAAACAAGTCAGGCACAGAAAGAGAAATATCACAGGTTCTCACTTATTTGTGGGAGCTAAAAATAAATAAATAAATACACACACACACACACACAAAATAACTGGGGGCGGGGGAGAAGAAGACATAACAATTGCAATTCCTTGAAATTGATTAGACAAGCAAACAGAAAGGACATTGTTGGGAGAGAGGGGGGAGAGGGGGAGAGCAATATTCAACCACATTGTATATCTACAAAATAAAATAAAATATTTAAAAAAAAAAAAGAATTGCTGACACAGAAATAGTCTAAAGTATAAGAGGTCAATTATCAGTTTGAAAGGCCTGATTTGGGTGTTATATCCAGAGTTAGGGGGATCTATTAAATGACCTCTGATAACAACTTCCAACTAACCCAAGATTCTATCCTTTGTTCCCAGGTACCCTGGGGCCTCTACCTCTGGCCTAGATAATAGGCAAAAGCTCCTTCTCTGTACACCCACCTCACTAACTGTTATGGATTGATTTAGGAGGGGACTAGAGATTAAGAGAACCATAACTGGAAGATGGGTTGATGGTCAATGGTTTCTGAGAGAAGAATATAAGAACATCAATATTTTACTTTACAATAACCATCTCTATTATGTTGTTTATCATACCCATGGTCCTGTATAAGGAAAACTCCCTTGCTCATGGAACCAGCAGATGGTACAGTCCACATTTTACATAACAATAATCTATACTCACCTTTCGCCTTGGAGTCCTGCCAACCATCTCCCTATGTCCCCATCTACCCTATCCCCAGCCACTGACAACTGGACCATATTGCTGGCTGAACATGTCTGTTTTGTGGTCCAAAAAAATAAAAATAAAAATAAGGGCTGATGTTTTAGTCCATTTTGTGTTGCTATAACAGAATTACCTGAGACTGGGTAATTTATAAG